AAAGAATCAACATAAAGAGAGATCTTGATCCATGATCTTTTCCATACCCTATTGAAGACAGTAAAGATGACATCTGTCCGCTCATTACAGGGCTAGACATTCAGAAGTTGCCATTAAGAGGAAATTATCTGGGGGCCAGCAGGTGGCGTGGTGGTTAGGGTGATGGAATTCCCACATGGCCGACTACGGTTTGAGTCCCAGACCTGGTGGCTTGTTTTCTCACTTTCTCCCCCTCTCTCTGTCTTTCTCTGGCAAAACTCATGTGAAATAAATAAATAAATAAATAAATAAATAAATAAATAAATAAATTCTTAAAAAAACAGAGAGGAAACTATTTGGAAAAAGACTAGATGAAGCAATAAGAAACCACAGACTAACTGAACACTTTGAAACTACAGGTCATGGAATTGGCACACATTCAACTTCTTTTAGTTTATTTATCAACAAAGGAGTGATAGTGATCAATACCATTGACCACACAGGCACCCACATAACTATACTGAAAGCTAGTCAGCACCTCTTTACAACTCTTCCCATCTTGCAGAGATGGCTCCAGTGCTGAGTTATTTTTAATTATTTAAAAACTTATACCATAGGGCCAGCAGGCTGCATGGTAGTTAAGGTGCTGGACTCCAACATAGTCAACCACAGTTTGAATCTTAGACCTGGTGGCTTGGAAAGCATGCAGGGGGCATGTGTGTGCGGTGTGCCCAAAATCCTGAGAGGAGAATGGAAGAGATGGGATTGTGGCATGGCCATCTGCCCTGGAGGGTGATTTCTTTCTCTCTGTCTCTTTCTGGCAGGAGCATGCACCGTATGGCAAAAACCTTAAAAACAAAACCAAAAAAGCCTATACCACCACTTTCCCTTGTCCCAAAACTCGGGCTGCTGGCAGAGGTTGGAGGTATAAACAGGCATAGTTAGAAAGATCAGAAATACCTCATTCTCTATATAAGCACTCCACTTTAGTCCATTAAGTTCAGATACTTGATTAAATAGATAGCACCTGGCATTGAGAATGCTTAAAAATAAGATGCAGGAAGTCTTAAATTACTTGAGTTTTGAGGATATCAGTCAGTTAAAATGATATGAGGGTATTTCAGAAAGTTTGTGGAAGAATGGAATTAAAGTACAAGTTTATTTTGGTGCAAATTTTTTTTTGGAATCCAATTTTATAATATGGATTTCCCCTAAACTTTTTGAAGACCCCTTGCGTAGCAGAAAAATGACAGAACACCCTTCTATTCCCATAAACGGCATGTGTAACAATGAAACAGAGGCCTCAGGGCCCTAGACTGAGACAATGTTTATGAAGTAACCAGTGTGCACCAGGCTCTGTAACAGCATTCTGTATCTATCAGGTCATTGACTCCTCACTGTAGGATAGGCATTATCCATTTTATAAGAAAACTGAAGCTGAGAGGTTAATTTAGCTATGTTACATAACTTGCAAATGGCAGAGATGGGATTCAAACCTCTTAGCCTGATTCCAAGTCCAAGCTCTTTCCTCTATGAGGTGGAGAATCCTGAACAGTAGCAGGGTTTATTGCTAAAACCTGGGCACCAAGGTTCCATTCTCTCTCTCTTTTTTTTTTTTAAGAATTATTTATATACTTTTATTTATTGATTCATTTATTATAATCTGACCAGAGAGAGAGAGAGGGAAAGTGAGAAAGCAAGTCACCAGGTCCAGGACTTGAACCATGGTCCAGCGCCTTAACCACTATACCACCTGCTGGTCCCACAAGGTTCCATTCCTTACAAAGAGTCATTACTGTAGGAGAGCACAGCCTGTCAGCTGATTCAGTGTCTTAACTGCTGTGTTCTCCTCTTAGTTGGAGCAACACCAGCTTTGAGTCATTACCAATTGCCCAGACTACTCTAGCCCTGTGGCTCTTAGTTTAAATAGACAGAGATCAGAGTACAGAAGACTCAGACAGGGAAGAAAACATTTGTATAGGAGCTGCAGAAGTAGTTTTTAGGTTGTCAGCTAACGGCGGATATCAGAAAACTACCCAAAGATGGCTACCCTACCCATAGCTGAGAAAGATCAAGGAGATGGATTCATTCTCTGATAGGCCATCTGATTTAGAGATAAGCCTCTTCCCAATTCATTTTTTTCTTCTCTTAGGCTGGATGGAGTCAGGGCCTGCATGTCACGGTCCTTTGATTCCCAACAGTGGGGATGCTGACTTCCTGTGCTTGTCAGCTAAGTGCAGTACAGAGAGACTGGGGAACCTAGAACCATGCTTCAGTGTGGCAAGAATACAGTCCTGGAGGCCAGATGGTGGCGCAGTGGTAAAACACGAGGCTCTGTGAGGCTGGACCACATGGGACAATTCCAGGTTCACGGCTGGAGACCACTCTGTGCATGCTAAGCATGGATGTGTACATGACCCAGGGCTGGCTAAGGCTGGGAGTAGATCATGGCATCAAGACCCTGTTGGGGGTGCTTCTCTTGCTCTCACTCATGGAATAAATAAATAAATAAATACACTTTTTTTTTGAGATGTTTTTGTTACAGTGCTCTTGCCAGAAAGACAGAGAGACAGAGACAGAAAGCAAGAAATCACTCCCTCAGGGGGGGATCGCCACACCATAATCCCTTCTCCTCCATTCTCCTCTCAGGATCTTGAGTACACATGCACACACGCCTGGCATGAGTTTAAGCCACAAGGTCCGGGACTCGAAGTGCACTTGATTACAATGGGAGTCCAATGACATAGCCATTATGCCAACTGCTGGTCCCCACAGGTAGAAAAATACAAACCTCAACTCATGGTGGTGGTTCTGAGAAGGCAGGTTCTTTTTTTTTTTTTTTTTTTTGAGAAGTTTTTGCTATAGGGTGCGTGTGCTCGCCAGAAAGACAGAGACAGACAGAGATATAAAGTGAGAAATCACCCCCCAGGGGAGGAAGGCAGGTTCTTAACATATATAGTGTGTAGGTGGAAGGAGAACGAACAACAGTAAGAGAGTTAAAGATGTTTATTAGTGGAGGGGCCCAGCACAGAGCAAAAGTCTCAAGGCTCAGGTCATTCAAATCTGACAATTGGTAACTCTTTTAGCTTTTATTATTATTATTTTTTTAAAGGGAGATTTTTGCTACAGGGCATGTGTACTTGTTGGAGAGAGAGAGTGAGAAATCACCCCATTTGGGATGGCCATGTCACAATTCCTTCTCCTCCATTCTCTTCTTGGGATGGTATACAGCAATCCCTTCTCCATTCTCTTGGGATATTGGGCATGCAAACACACATGCCCAATGTGAATTTTAAGTCTCCAGGTCCAAGACTTGAACCACAGTTGACCATGTGAGAATCCAGCACCTTACCCACTATGCCACCTGCTGGCCCTGGTAACTGCTTCAGCTTTTCACATCTTTGCTCTACAGTAGGCTCTCTAGCTTACTGCCCAGAGACCTCACGCATCTCTGAATTCCTAATTCAGAAAAGCAAGGAATCCCCTCAAGACAAGAATCCATTTTAAGAATATTTTATTTGTCTTTTGAGATTACATAGTCATTATTGCTGATCTAATACAATCACTTAGACATAAAGATCCAAGAGCTTCTCAGAAATGGCGATCCTTAGAGGTTTTATTCCTTCAGTAAGATGACAGTGAGAGCTAGGTGATTATTTATATATATATATATATGTATGTATATATAGTTTAGAACTTGTCCACATACAATTTGCTGGTGTTTCCTTTTTTCTTTCCGTAATCTTCTTTCATTAAAAAAAAGCATAATGCAACAATGCATTTTGATTTCTTTTTTTAAAACCATGACAAAGTTAATCTTGAGAAAACCACAGGAGCAGCAATTTCAGATCTGTTCAGAGAAAAGCTAAGCAGCAAAAAAGCTTTGCAGGAGTATGTGGCCACGGGAGCCGTGCTCATATGGGTGGGGAGGAAGGAGGGCAGAGGGAAGGTAGACTAGATAGTTTTTTATTTTCAATACAAAAAAGAAAATATTTTCATTAAGAAGGCAAAAAAAAAAAAAAAGCCTTTGAAAACTTGCACAAATTCATTCTAGAGAAAATAGTATGTTTCCCCCACAGGTCAGGGCCACACACAAAGAGATAATCAGCCTTCTTTCCCATGCTTCCAGATAGCTAGGGTGCAGCTAAGGTGAGAGCTTGGAGGAAAGAAGTGCTCTGATTCCAAGGATAAAGGAAATAACGACCAGATTCTAACACTTAGATAGAACCCAGATTTTCAGAGGCCTGGGCCTCCTTCTTAATGGTTGATAACACAGGGCCCCTAGAGAGAGAAGATTAGAGGACATCTGAAACTCAGAGGCGAATACCTCACCAGAGGCAGCAACACTGGCAACCTAACTTAGAAGCCCAGTGAGGCTCCTTTTTCATCTGGATGGGTCTCTTCACTGTAGCAAGGCAGAGGATACTCTGTAAGTACCAGCACACAGTACGCTCCACAGGGAGCAAGGCTTTGCTGAGGAACAGCAGGTTATGATTTTTGGTCTAAGAATGTAATAGGCTAGAGTCCAGATATCTTCTAATGGAATCTGCCTTGGATATAAGATGAAGTACAAAGATCTGAATTGTTTACTAAAGGGACCCAGTTAATTAATACAAAAATCAGAACTGAGTAGGCAAAAGAAAGAGAGGAGTGTTCTGGTGGATGAACAGCATTTGTGATCTCCCTTATTATAAAAACAATATAGTCATGGAAGGGGCACTTCTCCAGTACCAGCAGAGACATAAGGCCTCTAAAGAACCAGACACTATGGGCTAAACCTGTGAACTATGTAATGAGGCAAATAGCCATTTATTCAAGCTCCACCTCTCTACCTCCAGAAGTAAATGTAATGAGGCAAATAGCCAATTATTCAAGCTCCACCTCTCTACCTCCAGAAGTAAGGTCACTTCTGGACTAGCTCTGAGAGTACACAGGAAGACCAGGGGAAGCTGGACAAGGTGGAGGTAGGGGAGGAGAATCAGGATGGGAAGCTTACAGTGATCCTGGGTGGTTTAGTATTTCATCAAATCACGTTGGCGTGAGACTTCGAGGCACACAGCAAAAGAAAAAAATGGGAAACAAACAAACATGAGAGTATTAAATAGGGAGGAAAAAGAGGGACTCGCTTAATTCAAGATTATTAGGTCTACAGCAAACTTTAACTTTTACAACCAATCTGTTCCCTTGGGACCCTGGAAACCAGCAGGTCAGTCAGGTCAGTCTCCAAAAGTAATCCAGCTCTCGGGTGGAATATAAAATTTCATGCTGCTCACATTACTAATTTTTGTAATGTTGGAGTTACTCAAGAAACTGAAAAAAAAACAATCCTTAAATGGAAAAGGTTAGGTCATAAGATATGCCAGCAGGAACAAAAGACCAAGATCAGGTTGCAGATACAGGTTTCCCCGATGGCAACCAACGGCTAAAGGGATGAATGTCTGATGAGGTTCCGACTAGTCAAACTAGCGCTGACCACCTGTATTCAGTTTACAGCGTCATCCCTGTACCCCTCAGTCAGTGGAGTGGCAAAGTCCTTCCCAGGAAACATACATTTACTCTGCTTCTTCAGGGTATCAAGCGGTAGGCCTGAAAGACCTTCTCATTTTCCAAAGTCTTAAACTCCCAAATGCCAGGAAAAGTATGCCTTTCTCTACTCTGTTTCACAAGTAGTTTTAGGCAATAACAAAGTTTCAAGAAGCAGTGTTTCATAATAAGCCCTCCTTTTCTGAGATAGTGTCAACCTGGAGGGAACTTCCTGGGAAAATATCCAATTAAATGATAAAGTAAAACTAGGTCCCAGTGGCCTCCACTTCCTGAGCAGAGGTTGGTTGGGTTAGAGAGAAGGCAAAACAAATGGCTGATGAACACCAGAGCTGTTGAAATAATGGAGGCACATCCCTCTAGGAACCAAAAAATGTTAAAACGGACATAGATATCCAAGGAGAAGAAAGAAGTCCTGGGTAAGGAAGGAGACCCCTGTCAGCATAGGCACAGCTGAGTTCTTTGTGTAGCTTGCCAAAAGCTGTAACTCCTTCCTTACTAGCCTTTTTATAAAGAAGGCAGTGATAGTGGTAGCCAAGGCTGAGAACCCAGGCCATGTTGTTCAGCAGCTTCCAAGAGGCCTCACTTGGGGGAGGGCCAAAACTGAGAAATGCAGCTGCTGAAAAGTTATTCCAGAAAACCTCAGAGAACAAGGAGCCTGGAACCCCTAGACTAACTCCTGAGTCTGGACAAGAGAAAAATGGCCATCGCTGAGGATTGAGAGCCAATGGGGAATGGTGTGAATGGTGCACTGGGAATGGTTACCCCATTTCTTTCATTCCTCGGCCTGTCCTCTGTGGTTCTCATGGCCCTTGAGGCAGTAACCACACTCTGGGCCAATGCTACAGGCACAGGATTCTAGATTTTAATAAATAAATAATCTAACACGCAGGGAGAGCACGGCGGGCAGCTCTGATTGGAGAAGCAGCTTGCTGGGTTCTTTCTTGTATAGTAGTGGAGCAAAGGCTTGGAGTTCTATTCCTTAAAACTTCTTCTGGCTTGTGTTACAGGAACTTAATACCTGGAAGGAAAAGGAAAGATGAGACTGATGTTATCAGCCACTGGAGATGCTGGGACATGAAGAGCTTGCCTAACGGTTCAACTGGGAGGCAAGAACTTTTCTGGAGTGTATGGCGGGGGTAGATAATTGTGGCTCTTTTCCACATCAATGAAAAAGGCCAATAATTTTCCATAAAGAGATAAAAACCATAGCAAAAAGATGAAATGGGGAAAGGCAGTTTAGGAAGGGAAATATTAATGTTTGTGGAAGGCCTCAAGAATCCTTTGGGAATAGCATGGAGGGGGGTGGGTTTATTTTTCTGAATGCATCTAAATGTACGTGATGGAGAATGCCAATCCAATTCCTGCATGGGATTCTGTTCACTACTAGGCTGCCCTGATTTCTGGGGGGCCCAAGATACCTGTAGTAATTAGGCTTGAAGGGCCCATTCTTGTTGAGTCCCAGATACTTGGCCTGTTCATCCGTCAGCTCTGTCAGGTGGGCGTCAAACGTGGGCAGGTGCAGGCTCGCCACATACTCGTCTGGAAAGGATCACAGAAGCCCTGGGATGAGCATTCGTGCCTCCTACCTGGCTCTTCTCCTGCCTTAAAAAGTTATAAGATCCCTTCTATTACATTCCTGGAGCTGAATCAAAAAAGCTCAATTTTTGCTCACTGCCCCTCAATTCTAAGGAATGGTTGCCTTCGGCTTTAAGCTCCATGCTTTTCAAAGCCATAACATTTTTTCCTTGCTTTTTCACTTGCCCTCTGTCTCTAGTCAAATTAAAATAATAATAATAATAATAGTGATGAATCAAGTTGAACAAAATAATTCTTAAAAGTAAAAAAAGCAATAGGTGGGGCCAGCAGGTGGTGAGAAGATTAAAGTGCTGGATCCCACATGACTGCCCAGTTCAAGCAAGTGCTAGAGCTGGTGACTTGAAAATCACACCAGGCTTGTGTGTGTGCATGTCCAAAATCCCAAGAGTAGAATGGAAGAGAAGGAAGTGCAGCATGGCCATCTCCCATGGGGGGTGATTTCTCACTTCCCCCTCATTTGCTGAGCAATAGGTCTTAGGATCTAAAAGAAAAAGTGAGTGGGATTTGGGGGGGAAGGGGCTGAAAAATGGGAAGCTCCAACTTTACCTTTTCCTCGGACTCTATACCGGAGTTCATTTAGAAAAACTAACACCTGGGGAAATGAAACTATTTGCTTTGCTTTTAGTGTTCTTGGTTCTCCAGGGTTCCTGTTTACATTCTATGATCTACATACGTAGTACTTATTCACAATTTCACGTCGTTTCCTAGGTATCAGCTTGCTCTCCTCTAACTTCACTAAATATTTGGTCAAACTGCTCTATTTCTTTCATATCCTTCCCAGTGTCTGTTATGGGAGAAATACATCAACTTCTAACAGTTGCTACATACACTTAGTGCTAAAGCAAAAGAAAGATAAGGTGATTCATTCCCTGGTCTTTGCCAGAAGGGTTTATAAACACATGGTATCAGTTCAGGTGCTCGAGGCAGGCTCTTTAAAAAATTTAAGACAGTTTAATGTTTCTCTTATACAAAACACCCACATAACTAAACTCTGAGTGAGAACTATTCAGTCTCTCCTTCGGCCTGAAACAATGGGGTTAGAGTTAGTAGATGGAGTATGAAAGTCTTGTGTGATCTGAGAAAAGTCTGGTGGGGGTTTTAGGTTGTCAGAAATGTTATGACATGTTGGGAACCAGCAGTTAGTATAATGGCTATGTCGCTGGACTCCCACGTAGTCCACTGCGGTTTGCGTCCCAGACCCGGTGGCTTAAAACTCACGCCGGGCGCGTGTGCATGCGTGCCCAAGATCCCGAGAGGAGAATGGAGGAGAAGGGATTGAGGTGTGACCATCCCCCTTGGGGGGGTGATTTCTTGCTTTCTGTCTCTATGTCTCTGTCTGTCTGGCGAGCGCACGCGCCCTATAGAGAAAACCTCTCCAAAAAAAAAAAAGTCATGACATGTTTTTCTATGCGAAAATGCATCATGACTTTTCCAATAATCTAATAGTAAGCAGCCTAGAACTAGAATAAGTCAGGGGTCACAAGGTAGGAGATGTATCCTTTCTTTTAGGGGAAGATTTTTCTTTTTTTCTTCTTTGAGGTTCTTGTATACATGATATTTTAAGAAAGAAAATATTGGGGCCACCTTGTGGCATGGTGGTTAAGGGGCTAGACTCAGAATCCTGGCTTGCTTTCTCACTTTCCTGTGTTCTCTCTCTATCTCACTGATGAGTGAATGTGCTCTACAGAAAGTTTTAAAATAAAATAAATAAATAAATTCTAAAGAAAGAAAGAAAATCCTTAAAAGGCAGGTACGGGTCCAGCTGGTGGTATAGTGGTTAAGGTACTAGACTCCTACAAGGCCAACTGAAGTTTGAGTACTGGACCTGGTGCTTGAAAAAATCACACTGGTTGCAGGTGTTTGAGTGCTCAGAGTCCCAGGAGGAGAAGGGGTGATTTCTCATTTTCCCTCTCTCTGTCTTTCTCCAGCAAGCCCATGTGCCCTACGGCAAAACCTTAAGTAAATAAATAAAAGGCAGGTAAACAAAATCTCAGCAAAATGCCATACCTTCAGTACAGCAATCCATGAAGAAAATGGGATAAAGCAACCGGGATGGAACCAAGGAATCCTAGCTCCTACTTTATAGATAAAGATAACATTTTTTCCCTATCCATAAGGAAGTTAATGGCCCAAAACTTCCTTTAGCCTCTGACTGATCTACTTTGTCAAGGATGGGAATGGAAAAACATGTGCTTACCCATTTTCTTGGGCAGTAGGTAGACATCCTGCTTGTAGCGACCCTCGGGAGCATTGTAAAGTTCTATCAAGGCCAGAGCCTGGAAAAGCAGACACGGGTGCTGACGGGCCATTCACAGCAGTCTTGCTCACATCAGGGAAACCCTGCCCGTGTGAGGACCCGCACCAGCGCACTGATGGCCCTCTCAGGAGGCCTTACCTGCGTAGTAGCAGTAATTGACAGCACAAATGTAGGCACTGTGGAGCAGC